CTATTACTTTACTTTTCCTTTTTTTCAATTTTTCGATTTTACTTCGTCAAAAATAATAGGAAAAAAAGTAGAATTAAATTTTCAATACTAATTTTCTATTTATAATTAAACTGATGCAGTTTAATTATAGTTATAATTGATATAGTTAACTTAGTTTAATTATAATATTTATAATAAAACTATTAACTAAGCAACACTTATTATTTATAAATTTATATTTTTACTATTTTTTTATATTAAATTATTGAACACCTTAAGGTGATCTATGATCCCAAACCTAATATTTTAATTAGATTCTTTCGAATTCTTCACGAATTATGTTCAAATTCGGATTCCTGACATTGAAATGAAGTTTTCTATTTATTTCTAAGCTTATTAACAAATTAAAAGTGGAAGACATGCGTTTATTTTTCTCGTTAAGTTGATAGTTTTTAATGAAGAAAAACTTTTTAATCCTTCAATACTCAGGATTAATGATGATCCAACATTATTCTGCATATTTTTTTTAATTATTTATTTATTATATTATTTTATATATTTTTCTTCTCATATATATTTTTTACGATTCATTCTCGGAAAAATATCTGGCATTGTCCGCTCCTGAATTTTCAGTGGTGCTGACATCTATGATACATTTATTGAAATGTTTTCTAGGTTCACATATAATTTAAGAAGATCGCTGTTTTAAATTGTTCTACTTAAAAGTTTACCAAAAAAAAAAAAGAATTTATTCCACTTCCAATTTCTTAAAAAATCACAAATGTAAAGTTTACTTGTTACGAAAAGCATGTAAGAACTATTAAAAATATAACTAATTTGAAATTCGTAATGAATTTACTTTTTGCATTGTTCGCATTTCAAAAAAGCTATTTATGATTAATTTTTGTGACCAAAGCTAAACTTCGAATCTCGTACAAAAATTCATCAGTTCTGAAGTACGAATTATTTTATCAGCATAAATTTAGTTATATTCACTAACCATTAAATTTACCAGTTCAGGCATACATACCTATCACGATAAATTCTATCTTTACCATACTTGATTTTAAAGATCTTAAACCTGCAGAAGAGAATAAAGGTACAAGAAGTTTTGCAATTACATCTCATGCGCATAATTATGATTAAATATTGTGAATATCCTTAAGTTTTTCTTTTATGAATCAGAGAATTAAAAAAAAACAATAGCGGTCATTAGGGTCCGATGACTAGGAAGTGAGAGGGGGTATTGCAATCTGGAAAAATGAGGTATTGCTTTTTATCAGGGGTCAAAACTAGCAGAATTTTTATACCCTACTGGACAAGTTGGTCTGCAAAATACTGCTTTACTGTTCTTTTTAAATGGTTATACAACTTTTTTAAATGTATAATAATAGAACGTATGGGATATGAAGGTACCTATTATTAATCTACAGGGAAAATAAGCAATAGGTGATCGCAACGCTCGAATACTCCATCTGGGGAGAAGACCAGTTCCATCCCTTTGGCCCTCCCCCCCCCTCCTCTTTTCAGTTGTGTAGGAATGTACTACGATATTTTTCCTTTTCTTAATATTTTTCGTATTTAATTGTTAAGAATATTTTTTAAAGTTTCCATGACGCTTTCTTTTAAAACTATGTTAAATGTAGTTTTCAGTTCCATATAGTTTTCTAACTTAAAAGATTTTAATCTATTTGAAAATCAAAACAGAAACTAACGTAGTACTTCCTTCTTCTATGACTCTCCACACGGTAATGGTGAAAGCATATAAAGTGCTGCCATGGGTAGAGAGTTCTGCTCTACGCCACCTGTAGATCATTTCGATCGTCAATAATAACGCTCCACCAACTTAAAAAAATTTTTAAATAAATAATACAAATATTGACGAATTTTAACTTGCGTATATAAAAAAAATAACCTATTCAGAGAATTGTTGAAATTTATTATTAAGGATTTTTTATAATTTCAAAAAAGAATATGAAACTCTCACGATTGCATTCCCATTTTCAACTAATATGATTAAAAATTTTCCTGTGCTGCAATCATAGTAAATTTTAATAAAAATTAGCGTGATGAAGGAAATAAAAAATGAAAAGGCAAATTTTACATCATAAACTCTTATTTAATTAATTAAACTCAGCAACATTATAGTCTTATAATTACTCCTTTGCTTTTTTTTCTCGTTTCCTTCCCTAATCACGGGTCCCGGATGTGCATCATAGCTTTTCTTTTCCCATAGAAAAAAATGGAAAACGATAAAACCACTCTTAATAAAAAAAGTTACACACGGGCCTAAGAACAGTGATAGCAAAGTAAAGTGTACCGCAGTATTTTTTAGAGTGGTAAAAAAAACATACTATTTGGAATATCTTTAAGTAATGACTTGTCTAAGAGCAATATCGATAATAAAAAAAATGCTATATTTACTTTTCTGGTGATTAAAAATATAAAATTTTTAAAAAATTCCTGATATAATTAAACCAATGCACTTTTTTTCGACTAAATTATCTGAAATAAGTGTTTCTCAGACTGAAAACGAGATTATAATAAATGCCATATGCAGTAATATACATTAAAACTGCATAACAGAGGAGGCAAAAAAGAAGCTACATAAGTCTTCCCAGATTTATAAACACATATTTTTCATAAAAATGATGCTGAATATATATCTAGCATTATATATATAGATATATAATTATTTATNTGTAATATTTATAGATATATATATAGATATATATATAGAATTTTTAGATATATATGTAGAATTTTGTATATATATATAGCTATTAAGATATTGAAAAGATGTAAAGTGGAGCCATTTTAACTAGTTGTATTTGATTAATTATTGAAAAAACATTTCATCAAATAACGAATAAGAATAATGCTACTAAAATAAATGTGTTAAAGAAAATGCTACATTTAATGCTGCTAAATGAACCAGCTTTTTTAATTAATTTTTATGTTACTAAATTTATAATGTAGAAATTCAAAATGTAAAATTAATTTAACCGTAAGATAACAACAAATTAAAATGAATCTGCCTGAGTGCAAAAGCATTGTCCAAAACAAAATCTCTCATCCTCATCATTTTTCTATAAAAGTACATTTTTAAGACTACCTTATCCAAAATGAAAACTAAAGATGCATTTTGTTCCGTAATCACCATCCTTAACGGTGTTTTTCGAAGCTCCGTCACCACTGGAATTAAAAAAGCCATAGTTTAAGTGCCTTACACTTGAATCAATTCGATGATTTTAAACTATATACATAATCTTACCGTGAGGAATTATCTGGGCTTTAGAACAGATAAACAATTTCAATATTTTAAAAATTATTAAACATTTTTCCATCTACATGAAAATTATCAAAATCACTGCCTTATTCTCAGTTCTTTAAATTTTTATGAGCCCAAGTGATGCAGAGTAAGTTTTTATCTATTAAAAAATCATACGACAAACATTTTTCACTTTCACAAAACTGTGACTTTTTTCCTTATCGACGTTTTGCGCCGTTTTCAAAATAACCGCAGACAACGCTGACTTTTAATAGGCTAAATTTGACCTAACAGTCTTGATTAGCAGTTGCAAACTAACAGCAGTTATAAAAATTGCACATTATTCGCAAAAAAACATCTTTTCATGTTACGACGTAGCCTTCGAAAAACAGCCTTAACTTTTTCGCGCCGACTGTCACGTTTACGTATCAGCGTGAAAAGCTCCCAGTCGACATGCCGGTGTGCCAGATCAATATCTCGTTAACTCCCAACAGTCACATATTTGTGTGAATAGAGCTTTTGGCACAAGCATATTTTTGGTTGTCATTTTGGCTCGAGGTATGTCCATAGAATTTGTGATACATGTAGATTTGACCCTCTTCTCGAAATGAGTATATGATAACACACATGCACGTATTTTTGATAATATAAACGTAACGGAAAAGGAATGTTCCCGAATCGCATGGCTTAAGACAGTTCATTAAAATGATCACGTGGTATTCGCTTATAGGGACTAAGAGACCTTTATTTTCGCTAAAATATTATGTATTTGGGTTTGCGGTCCAGTTTTTAAGTTATATCTCGTAGACGCAAATTTTTCTGTTTTTACCTTTATAATGTCGAAGTGTCAAAACTGTTGACTCAACTCGAAATAGCAGCAATAGAGAAACATATCTTTAAACAAGGAAAAAACTTCAAAACATAATGTATTTAAAAAAAAAATATGTACTTAATATGTCGTTCATCCATTTTACAGTACATTGTTAAAGAATGGGTTCATATTTCTGTGATTTCATGTGTTTAGGTTTAACAGCAAGAAACACTTCGGCCCTGAACAGGAACTCGCGAAAGAAACTCCAGGCCTCAACCATAAGTGCACACTTGCAATTACCGTCGCGAAAGGGTTGATATAAAAATTCTAAATTTGGTCAAACATTGAGAAAAGATATATGCATTAGAGGTCTCAAATTATTATTTAAGTGAGGAATGAAATAAAAACCCAATCGAAAGGCAAAATGAAAAACATCAAAACCAGTTTGATTTCCCGACAAAATATCGCTTTTCAATTCCTCTATGCACCTTTCGGCTATCAAATTGGTTTTGATGTTTTTCTTCGCACCATCCTCACGAATGATTCGTTACATTTTGATAGCCTCTTTTTCTTTGAAGAAATTTTAAGTTTTAACTCATAATGCACATATTTTTTTTATTTCATTTTTTCAATTTCAAATTTCAAACTAAATGGCTTCATTAGAAAGAATCTGGAATTTTTTTTCATCAGATTGTAGTTATTAAGAACTAACAATTAATTTTCCCTCCTCTGTGTCTTTTATTGAATTTATCTGAATTATTCATTTCAATTGAAACTCATCTGATAAGTTTCCAGACCTCGTCAGGAATACTAAGCTAATAAAAAGTTCATAGCATTAAATAATTATAAAAAAATAGATAAAGCACAAGTGAGGGACCAGTTTTATAACCACAAATCATTCTTCATTTTCAACAAATTATTTTATTTCTATTTTTCTAAAAGCTATACAAATTAATTGACGAAAATATTTAAAAGCATACCTGTCTTTCATAGTATGCATTTGTAAAACTACAGTATATACTTTGCATTTTAATAAGTGACTGCATTATCCGCCCATATTCCATGTCCATAGCTTATAGTACAAAATTAATGGTTTGCTTAGCAATAGCCAACGGCTGAAATTTTCCAACTTAAGATAGAAACATTGACAAACTATGTTAAAACATACAATGTATGGGTACAATCTCAATATTTCAATAAACAGTGAAAATTGGTAAAGTAATGTGATAACATGCATGAGTTTTGCAATACATTTTAACAAACTATTACATACATTTTGTATTTTACTTTGTGACTACAACATCCATCGGTATTCCATATTCATAGGTTACAGTTGCCGGTTGATGATTTCCGTAATAATAACCAATTACTGGATTTTCCACTACTATTTCCGACGATGTTAAAAAGGGCAATGCCTGGGGCATTAACTGGACGGCCAAAGGCCTGTTATTATAAGGAATTTGCTTATGAACAGTCGATAACCCAGAATAAACTGCTTGACGATCCCAAGTGAATCCCCTACTGTTGTGTTTTCTGGAATCATCGTTGTTTGTCGGGTTATTTGAAGCACCAAAATTGTCATAGTCCATATCTGGCACAGGACTAAAAGCCCTCTTAGGTGTGTGGTCCCTTGTACTCAAACTTGGAGCACCGTCTACGTGAGATGAAGATTTACTGGCGATTCCCGTTTTGGTATTAACATCCACAGAAGTAGTGTCATGAAATGGTTTGCCAGTAGAGTCTGTATCTTGAATTTGCCTTTCTGAAGAAGACATACTTGAGGACGGGTTAAGTTTTCCCTTATGATTGCGTGGGACGGAAACGAATGCCTCCTTTGAATTGTCATTCTCATCCATCAAACTAGACTGTGGTTGTTCATCTGACAGAGGTTCAGGACGCAAAGGCGTTTCTTCAATTTCATTTTCAGGTTCATCTTCTATGTCATCATCAAAGAACTCGTCTTCATAGTCGATGGTAACAGGAATATCTTTAGGCATTGATGGGGTAACAGATGCTGGAACTTTAGTTGTACTTGGAATGACTGGCTTTGGATGAAATGGAATGGGACTCTTAGAAGGATCAGTCGAGTCGTGTGTTTTGGTATGGCCATCAGCATTTGATATATCTGATGTTTTGCCTCGAAAAATTCCACCTTTAGTTGAGATCCAGGCTGAATCTGCAGTGCCATGTGTTTTGATATGACCATCAGTTTTTGATGAATCTGATGTCTTGGTTTGAGGAATTCCACCTTTAGTTGAGGTCCATGCTGGATCTATTGAGCCATGTGTATTGATATGATCATCAGTTCTTGATGTATCTGATATTTTGCCTTGAGGAGTTCCACCTTTAGTTGAGGTCCATGCTGGATCTATTGAGCTATGTATATTGATATGATCATCAGTCTTTGACGTATCTGATATTTTGCCTTGAGGAGTTCCACCTTTAGTCGAGATCCAGGCTGGTGGACTGAAATAGCATGAGCAAAATGACAATCAATTAATTTTTTTTACTGATACTCACAAATGAACTGATACTAATAAAATAAAATTGGAGCATTTGATGCAATAGGAAGATAGCCCCTTTATTGCAGTATTATTGATTATTGTTTTATAGGTCAGAAATAACGTCGTGGTTGCACTAGTCAAAGATTGTAACCGATTATTTACTTCCCTGTCACTAGGGTAATTTTTCTGCAAGAAGATTCCTACTTTTTAAAGCAATTTTTAGCATATTTCATACTTGAAATGTGAATTTTGTACTTCTTGTTTTGTTGATATTTTCTTCCCATAAACTCACGTTTTGTGATCCAATAATAAAAGATATTTCAATAATTTCACACCTGAAAATAATACTTATCAAAATTGAATTTTTTTTTTTTTTGTATATTTGCAGAAATATAAATATTTTCTCACCACGTTTACTCTCTAAAAATTCTAAATAATTCCTCACAGCCCTTAAAGTATGGTAGTAATCTATATTCTTTCTAAATGAAATCTTTCTAATTGATGAGTGTTCAAATATTCAAATATTGAATCATTTCATGAAAAGTCATAAATCAATTAGGATTTTTTCGATTTACTTTTTACAAGGTCCGAATTCATGAAAAATAATTAGTATCATTGCATATTTAATATGCCCTATAATGCCTTGTATTTGTCCTGCAATATCTCAAATGCACATTAAACTAAAATAGTTAACAGGCAATTCTCTGAAAGAAAACAGAAAATGACTAAAAAATATTCTTCTTGATTCCTACTTCTACCTGCTTTATAATTATAATTCCAAATTAATATCTTATTTAACATCATTCAAATTTAAATCTTTGACAGAATAAATACAAAACTACAATAAATAATAAGGGCAAATATCAACAGAAAAATTGTCAACCCACTCTTATTAATTATAATTTGTTCCCGTTAAAATTTTTTAATCATGATTCTACGATTTAAAATAAATTAATTCAAAGTCCGAATAAAAACATTTTAAATGCTTAATGTTTTTTAACTTAGTTAAAAAACTTTAAGCATTAAGCTGAGTTTTAAAGTTAAAATAATAGTATACGCAGTATTTAAAGTTTGGAAGGGAAGCTTATTTTCATTAAAATTAAAATTAATTTATATAATACTCTAATTAAACCTGAATTACTTTATGGTAGGGAAGGCTGGCCTTTAAGCAAAACTGCTTAAAACAAACCACTAATTTTTGAAAGAAAATACTCAGAGCCATTTTTAGAGCTGTTAAAGAAAACGATGATTGTCAGATTCAGTATAATTCTGAATTACACAGAAAATTTTGGCAACATAATTTCAATTATTAAATCCTATAGAGCAAAAGATGACTGGTTCACATCTATAGAAAGGGTGATAGTGACACAGTTAAGAAGCTCACTTTTGAAAAGTTTAATGGCAACCGGAAAAGGGGAAAAGAAAGCACCAAGTTGACTGATTCCATAAAAGTTCTTAAAACCATGGACGCAAATAGATGAAAAAACCCAGCATCTGATCAAGTCAGATGGAAACGATTTTTTGGGATGACTCTGGCCTGTATAGGCTGTCATGCTGATGTTAGAAGAGAAGACTTATTCTAATGTAAACGTTTTGTAATATATTGGCGAAGAAAATTCTATGAAAGGGCAAATTAGAAATACAAAAAGAATTAAAAACTCCCGTGTAATCGTAAAAGTTATACGGAGCCGTTACAAAATCTTATAAACTATATGTAACGTGATGACCATAAAAGAATCATCCTACACTATTTTATTTAGATTGTATTATTGCACGATACATTTACAGCTAGTATACTGCAGGAAGCTCAAAAAATTTGCCATGCTTTTAAAGGCATGCATGTAATTTTGATACGACAAATTCTCAAACATAGCAATTATTCGTAAATGTGTAACATGTGTGAAATAGACTAAGAACAAAATAATGTGGGATATTCAATGTCATCTTCAAAACACTTGTCTGGATAGTTGATGGTAACAAAAATATCTTTTTGTATTGATTGACAAGGTAAAAAGTGCTGGAACTTTAGTTGTAGGTGGAATAACTGGCTTTGGGTGAGATGGAATGGGCGACTTTGAAAGATGGTGTGTTTTTGTATGACCATCAGCTTTCGATGGATCTGAAGTTTTGTCTTGAGGAGTTCCACTTTAGGCTGAGATCCTGGCCAGATCTGTTGATCCATGTGTTTTGATATGATTTTTGTGTATTGGATTTGTATGTATATATGCACAAAGCTCTGTAGCAGGTGTGGCTCCGGAGGTAATTCGCGAATCCTTATTGTATAAGTAATTTTGTATTCTTTTTTTTCTATAACACCTTTTGTCTATAAGTAGTTACTTAAACAAATAAATAATGAATGAAAAATGCAAAATGAATACACAAATACTAACTTTTGAGGTGATGTAGATGAAGATCCTTTATGTGTAGATTTAATACCTGTTTCTCTGTTAGTTGATAAAGGCCTCATGACAAAATTTATCTTTCCACCATTGGGTAATGTCTGAGAAGTATGTGAAGGCACGTACTTGATGAAATGAATACTATAAAAAATTCAAATTAGCATGTTATTCAATTATAGTTTGAAATTATATTTTGCAATAACATATACATATTTTTACAATTAATAACCAACATCACATTATGTTTGACAACATACAGCATTGAAAATATAATAACGTCTTGTTAAGTCCAAATATTGCTAACAACCGGCCAACTGGCATGGTTGATAGAGTATTCAATCACCTCTGTTAAGGTGGAGCTTCGATTCCCCATGCTGAAGACTGGGTGTCTGGTCAGATTGCACTTCACTTTCCCCGATCGTGTTTTATTGGTTTTAAGACCACAGTACTGTATTGACCCAGGTTGTTTCAGAGGCAGAAAAATCTAAGTGTCATTGAAGAGCATGATACGGTGATTACTACGACAATCTGCTAACCAGTCCAAATTTTTGCAGCATGCGTAAATTTTGGTAGTGTGCGCATAGGTCTCCATTGTCTTTAACTTATCACTGAACGAATGAATCCAATCGGTTACCAATAACGCATTAGTGTAGCTTAAGTGCAATGTTAGTAAATTAAATCAATCCGAATTTAAGTACTAATCGCAGTATAAACTATCACATTACCATAAAAACGTTTCAAACTGAATAAACTCTATCACAAATATGTGATTTTGTATTACACAAAAAGTCATTTCAGATGATGTACCTCAACCCGAAAAAAAGATGAAAATAGACGAGGATAGAAAAGCGTGGTTCGCCGCATTCGTCTCTGAGTTTTTAATCATTGAAAGTTTCACAACCAGTTACAAATATTGTCAACGGGTTGCGTTGCTAACTGGAAAACTATTTAAGGATGTTTTCTATCTCATATCTGACTATTCTACTTGAAATATCTGTACAAGGATCGGTTAATTCTGTTCTCAGAATGCACCCCATTTAGGTTGCAAGCTCCACCTGTTGATGAACTATTTTACTAGTTTTGAAACTTGATGAAAATCTTGTTTCCTAAGCAGAAAGCAAACCGTACATTCCTTCGTTCTCCCAGGACATTCGTTTGTTTCGAATTACTCTGAACTTCAAAATTAGTTAATCAACAGATGTTACAGATGTACACCTGTTAATGACAGATGAACTTCAACAGTATTTAACAAATACTTTCACATCTGTTTCATTTATTTGCAGCACTAATTACTATATAATACGCATATTACTTAAAGTGATGTTAAGCGTTTTTGATCCTGGTCAAACGAAGTTATCAAAAACTAAGATGATAATCCGCACCTAACATCCGTGTTAATCAACATAGTATGGATACTACATATTTCACGAGTACAGTAAGCCCAAAATAAAAGATATCACCATCTATAACTTTTGTTTTAACTATCAGATTTTAGCGATTTTGAATGTAAAAAAATAATATAATACATTTAGATAATAAATTTAAGATAAATTTAGTTTTAGTAGCACAAATTAATTAGCATGTCAGGTCCTTGGCCATTACGATTGACGTCACTTAACACGACTGACTTAAAACGTTAAAAATCAATCAAGGGAATAAAAGTTGTTCAGATGATATTTCTTTTTTCTTTTTGTTCAGGGAGTAAAATAAATTAAGTATCATCTTAGCAACTTTTGATCTAATGATCGGAATTTTTCGTATTAAGATGTGAACTTAATCACCTGCGAACCAAGACTTAAGAATGCTAATTAATTAGTGCAAGCGATACGAAGTTTCGAAATCACATACAAAAACGTAGGGGAGAGTCGGGTAGCCCCGCCCTCTGTCAATTTCATATGTATAGAATATTTTTTCAAATAAATGGGCCGTCGGACATTAATTGTTATATTAAAAAAAGATTATTTTCAAAGTTTCAAATATTTATGCAGCTGCTAACATGGTAAACACTAGTTTTGAAAATCTGTTGAATACAGTAGTCATGAAATTAAGAAAAATTGATTGGATGTTTCGATTAAACTTCATTTTAATACAAAAAAATAATTTTTTCTATACATACAGCACTAAAGTATGTAGACTTAAGTTTAATTTGCACAAAGAAACAAGTCTATATGTGAAAAATTGTTCGAGTAATTACAAATTTACAAAAAAATTGGATTTCGGGTAGTTTCATTGCTACTGATAATGCTTNGCATTTTTAACGACAAGTATTGTTGTTATTAAATGATTGTTATTAAATGATAGAATTCACTAAAAGTATATAAATACGTAATAAATAAAATAATTTTGTGATAAAAATGATAAACGAGGTTTATCTATTGTCAATACATTGGTCATTTTCATTTACACCAGAAAAAACAGTCAAAAAACATAATTTTTGTAACTGGGCGGGGCTACCCGACACATTTTGAAAAGAGCTGAAAAACGTGTTTTTTTAAATTTCTATTTTTTTAAGTTAAACTATTCATTTTTTTTTGGTTTATTCATTTTGCATTATTTAATTAGTTGATAAAACAATAGAAACATGCAAAAATATTGATTATTACTCAATACTATACAGAAATAGTATAAGCAATACTCCTTAAGTGAACGGGGCTACCCGACTCTCCCCTTTATGCTTTCTAAATACACCAGGGCTGGAAATTTATTATGACCGATGTGCCTGAGGCATATAAAAATTCACGTATTTTTACCCTTACATGCGCGATCGGGTATGCAAAGATTTAATTAGAAATACTATTAAATACCAACAAAGCTCCCCCACAAATTTCGACAGAGAATTAAAGGGGGAAAAGAAAATTGATTGTATTTGATAAGTCCTACTTTTCACTGATTTATTTTATAAATAAGAATTTATTAACCGAAAATATATTTTATTCTGTTTTCTTTCCCTAGCCATGTCTTCATTAGAAACGAATTTATCTAAATAATATAATAAATATCGGGTAATAAATAATAATGGGCATGCACTTGCCACCAAATACTTCTGATAATACTACTCCTTTGCTAATAACCATGCTCGGTATTTATTCCATCAGTGATTGTTTTTGCTTTATAGCTCTTTGTAAAAAATACTTAATACTTCTGATTTGCACTTAAACAAAAGTGGTAAAGATGCAAAAATGTATATATTATTTTTTGACGATTTTATACGTATATTAAGAAATAAGGAATAATATGCTATGTGTTAGTAAATTTGGCAGTCGAAAAAATTGTTTGGATAAGTAAACAGTTCATCCGAGAATATAATTGCTAGAGTAACATGTAAAACTTTTGAGATTTTTCTAACCCTAGAATAAGCACACTTTCGTTTAAGATGTACTTGAATTCTTGACCCTCGAAATATGAGTGGTGACTATAATTTGGAAAGTATAGTCCTAAATATTTAGGTCAGAAAAGCGGTTATTTGTTTCACATGTTGCGAATTGAACTATGTCTCTAGAATTATTTGCGCAAATCAAAATAATATTTCTCACAGGAATGCAACTCGTCTATCTAAAGAGAATCCCTTGCAAAAAAAATTTTTAGTTTATTTATTATTTTTTAGTATTTAGTTTAAGATTAGAAAATTTCCTCTCATTTCAAACTATGTTATTCTCGATGACAAAGTGCAAACTGTGAGTAAAATCATTCGATTAGTTACAGAAAGATAAAATTTTAAAGAATTAATGACTTCATGTAACGATAAAAGAACAATGAAAAAACAAAACGTTTTAAATTTTAACTTCTCAAAAACTATTTGACCAATTCAAATGTTGGGCTTTTGTTATTGAGAATGACATAGTTGAAAATATTGGAAAACTTTGAATATCTTGCAACTCAAAAATTTTAGATGATTATCAAATTAAAAAATAAAAAGAAATAAATTCTCTCTACATAACTGTGTTTCATAACTGTTTCATAATTGTTTCGTAAGTTTCCAGTGAAACCTTTTTGCTTTATATAAACACTCATCAATTACTATTTAATTTAAATTTTTTAAAATATGCCATGTCTTTTGACCAGATTACAATTTTTATATTGCTGCCATGCCTTAGGCATGTAAAACTTTCTACTGGTCATGCAAATTTTATCCTATAGTGCTCGGCAATTTTTAAATAGAAATACCGTAAAAATTACTAATTATTGCGATAATTTGCGAAAATCGCTTAAAATACCAGATTTCCAATGCTTTTAGACTATGATCTACATTAAATAAAATTTCCTTTTATACTAATATATATACTATGTATTAGTATATATACTATATATTAGTATAAATATATACATTATTTTCTTTTAATTTTTGATTTCTTTAATTATATGAGTTTTAGGAAAGTCTTGAAACTTTATTCGATCGAACTCAATTTTTAATTCCATAGTACATAAACTCAAATTATTTAATAAATATGAAAAAGGCTGAAATCGCTTTAATATTGATTTCAGTATCTAAATAAGTTTTCATGATAAACATAATAAGTTTTCATTATTAACATAATTAGGTGTTAAATTCTTTACATGGTATTGTTTAGTAACTCCTGACAACTGATTTGAAGAAAAACTAAATTAAAATATTTCTGAAATGATATAGGTAAAACTTTTAAATAGGTAAAAGTTTAAAATAAAACTATTGCAGAGAGAGAAGTAAATTTTAAAGTTTTTAATCCTAAAATTTCTTTTACAAATCTTAAAGTTTGTAATTTATATCATTAAATTGCATAAAAATGCATGACTGTTAAATGATTTATTTTTAAGTTTTGATAAGCCTCATAACTTATTCTACTACACTGGTTCTTTAAGTGACATAAAAAACTAAATTCTAAATGAAAAAAAATTATCTTTTATCGTAATTGAAAAGTTTGAAATTAACATTTTTCCCCAAATTTGCAAATTATTTCTCAGATGTATAATTAACAAATTTAAAAAAAATAATCTAAGCTTGGACAAATAATAATATTTTGTTATTTTATATCATTCATTACTTGTATTACATATTTGTTGAATATGTAACGAAAATGTACTGTATTACTTCAGTTATTATATTGAATAACTTTTCATCAATTTAATAAAACTATTTTTAGTGCCTAACAAACTTCAAAAAGTTG